CTGCTTGCCCTAAGGCTATAAAAGCCAAACTTGAAAAGGCCTCAGCAACTGTGAGGAAACTGCAGCGGGAGAAGAGTAATACCTTGAGGAGAGAAAAGAGGGCCAAGATGAACATGCGGGCTCTTCTGGAGGAATTGAAGGAGAAAAATCTAATCACCTGAATGCTATTCAGGTGAAATAAAAATATTACATTGAATATTTTGTGTATTTTATGTTCTTTGTTGAGTCCCTAGTTACTATTAAAAAGATACTTACTGAATCACTTTGCTAATTCAATTACAGATCTTCCAGTTCATCTCTTGTCTAGGCAGGGTGTAGAGTACACCAAGGACCAGAAAGATTTTGCCCTCACGCTCCATCTGCATGGTCCAAAGGCATATCACTACCTGAGAGATACCCTGCATATTCACCTGCCACACCCCAGTTCATTGCAAAGGTATTCTTCATGATGTCTAATTTTATATTGAATTACATTAAGCACTACAGACAATAATATCATGAATGGTTAAACTTACTGATCTAACAGCTCATGTCCACAGCTACCTTCCTGTCCGCTTTGATGGTCTTGTGGACAACGCTCTCGTGTACATTTCAGGTAAAGGCTGACTAAAAGTTGATTTTGCCTAAAACCAATGGTGCAAATAGTCAAAACCTGAGTGAAATCAATATCCCAATGGCCCAAAAAGATAAATGTTCCCTTCATTTCCCCATGGTTATTATAAATTATTTTAATATACCAACTCTTATTTCAGGATTTGTTGTGCGACGGGCTCTGAAAAAGCTGTCCTGTGATGTCTGCCGTGCCAGCTTGGTAACAGATGCTGCATCTGCCATCAAGGACCAGAGCTACCACCTGCTGAAGTTAAAAAACAATGGAGGTCTGGTGATTCCATCAGAAGGCACAGTGATGGTAGTCAGGGCAGCAGAGTGGGTTCTTCGTCAGACCTCATGTACCAGACGATCACAGCCCATCAAAGTGCTAGAGGTCGTGTACATTGTACGGAAGAGGATAGGGTCAGAGGATGTGTTTGTGCTTGGAGAGCACATCGGAGAAACGCAGTATGGCATAGACAGCCACCACCATACGCTGTTAACATTGGTTGTGTCCTTGTTTTTTAAGTTAAGGCTGCACCACATTGCCAAAATAACCAACCTTGGCTTACAGAGCAACAACATGCGACAGAAACACAATAAAACCGTCCTTTTCAAAGGGCATTAACCAAGCTATGTTTTTTGGGTAATTTTTTCATCTCTGTCTTCCATGTGTATACCATCACAGTAGTGTAGGTGGGGATTTCAACATGCTACATCTATATATACTTGTGAAGGGGACTATTGTACCAATTTTAATAGCAAATAAATGTCACTTTTATAATGGTTTAAAAATAGGAACTTTTGTGTAATTACCCCTGATATATAATCCGAATAGTCTACATGAAACTTCACAGTGTAACCTTTAATTTGAAACCTGGATTATGATTCTACACCAAGAGGTTGCCACACAATAAGCCTTTTTTGTCAGTATTTCAAATTTATTATAACAGTAATATTTATATTATAAAAGTATTTATGTAAATATAAATAAATTAGGACTGTGAAATAATTAATCACACTCAAATAAGTGTTTTTATATATATATATATATATATATATGTATTATAATATATATATATATATTATATATATATATATTTTATATACAATATATATATATATATTATATATATTATATACATATATATATATTGTATATATATATTATATATACAATATATATATACATTAAATATATATTATATATATACATTATATATAAAATATATATATATATATATATATATATATATATATATATATATATATATATATATATATATATATTATATATATATATATATATATATATATATATATATATATATATATATATTATATATATATATATATATATATATATATATATATATATATATATATATATATATATATATATATATATTTCTGGGACCATATATATATATGGTTGCCATTCTGTACACTGAGTTTTAATAGCATATATTGATTTAACATAAATACCTTGTGCATGTGTATATTTATTGCACCTGTATGTTCTATTCAGTGTTCTTTTCATATGAAGTTCCATGGTTATAATTATTCCTAAGTGCGCAGTATCACAACTACATGTCTGACTTTTGTTTAACAAACCAAACAGTTTGAGAATAGTTAGATAATTGAGGAAGTTATGGTTATTTCAGTACATGCGCCATTGAAACACAATGCTACGAATGAGCGAGCTGCCTGTGGTAAGATGGCCGCCACGTGCGGACGTCGACCCCCATTGGCCAGCAGCGCGGACGAGACATCTAGCCTTTATTATGGATATCTATGCCATTTCCCCTCTTCCTTTGATCACAGAGCTACCGGCTTCCTGAACGTTCAATGAATCATGGGATACCCATGGCTAAAGAGGATACACCCAACTTGTCCTTTCAAACGGGCAAAAAGAAGGCTGCTTTTGACCGCTGCATAATAATAAGTAATCACCTGACGAATCTGGCCTTTGGAGGACACAGCCGCCGGATACGAGCATAGCAATAATTCATGTGTATTTTATCAATGAATGAGATCAGGAATCTCCCATAGACTTCTTGAGTTGGCTTGTCATAAACAGTCTATAGAGTATAAAGCACCATCTTTATTGTTTTAATTAAAACATTGGGTTTTAGACTGAGTAAAAGCAGACAAGTTATCCTTTTTGAATGTTTAGAGATAAGAACTCCAGCAGCATTTTAAAATTTCATGGTGATATGCCACTTATGATAAGTTTATCCATCTTCCTCTGACAGCATGGGCAGTTTCATTCAGACAGATTTAGCTTTAACTTGCTGGATCTTAAATTAACACAGTCTAAAGCTGTTTGACTTGTTTACTTCAACCAGGAACTGAGCTCATGTGTGTCAGCAATAAAGCTAAAGACGGCTGACTACAGTAGCAGTGGGAGGGTTTCACCTACCACTAAAAAAGCCGGATTGACTCTGTTTAAGAGAAAAGAAACCTTAAACGGGAAAACCACATTCCTGAGCTATAGGGTAAACACAGGTTCAACATGAGTTAAAACAAGATCCGGTTTACTCCCTCATTTTCTGTACACACAAGATTAAATTAATTAATTAATTTAAAAAGTACTTTTTCGCAGGTGTATTTAGACATAACGAATATTTAAGCCCCTAGAATAAGAGTGGGATTATATTTGGCTTAATTTTGGTCAAAAGATTATAAAAGGCATTTAAGTAGTCCTTGTGTTTCGAAGGCCTTTAGTCCCGAGTACTATGTTACAGAGACCCAGTTTAAGCACATTCAGTCAAAAGCGTCTTCATGGTCATAATAGATTTGTAATTGATTAGGAGGGATTCATATTCTTTATTCAGTCAGAATTTAATGAAGCTGCACCTCGTCTTGTCATGTAAGAATCCCTACTGCTGTCAAGTATGTCATCAAACATGCAGGCCAGCATTGGCACATAGTTGGCTCAGCCTTGTCTGCCATCCTCAGCTCCTGCATTCGCTTGCTGTAGTCAGGGGCGGATTTAGGAAATTTGGGGCCCTAGGCAAAGACAGGCAGGGGGCCCCCTGAGAAGAAAACCCATAAAACAGACCCATTCTACAGATTGAGAAATGTTAATAGAATAGACATCCATTATTTGTTCTAGGTTTTGTCCCTCTCTTCTTGTCCCTTTTTCCTCTCTATTTATCAGCGTTCTGATGGCATTTTAGCCAAAGGATTTTTATCAAAAACATAATTATTGTGCACAAATAAGGAATAGTTGTATTAACTATACATGTAAACAGAGTTTTATGGGGCCCCCAGGAACTTGGGGCCCTAGGCAACTGCCTAGTATTGCCTAATGGTAAACCCCCCCCCCTGGCTGTAGTGGCTCTATATACTCTATGGAGGACTTCGAGAGTCACTGAAAAAGAAAACCAACCCTTTCAAATTTAACATTCAAATCATGCAATTTGAAATCTAATTTGAAAGGCCTTTTCTAATTGAATTGAAATGAACAGGAATTTGTTTATCACTCCATTATTTGATACTGGAATTTGAAAATGTGTTTTAAAATCCTATATCTAAATAGAGATTTAAATACCATAATTCACAGCACTGAATAAAAATATCTTTCCAAATCACACATTTCAATTGTTATTCCTTATTCTGTTTCCTTTTTCAACTTGCATTTTCAAATCCTTTTGAAATTACATTTTCTTTTTTGCTTTACCCACTCCATGTACCTTTACCATGACTGTTCTCGCTCAGCACACTGGAAACACATTCAGACCAATCATGGCTGCTCTTCAGATGTAAACAGCTTTCTCATTGGTTAGACAGCCACAGTTAGATCATAACACTACAAAGAAGAGCAGCTCTGATTGGTTCAATTGTGTTTCCACTCTGCTCAGTGGAAACACAATTAAACCAGCACTGACTCCAGTGCTGGAAACCAGCAAAGTGTTGAAGATCTAGCAATGTTTGGCACCTGTAGGGAGGGCTAGGCCATTTGCACTGGCTCCACCTGCAGGTCACACTTGCTGATACAAAGATGACATTTCAGAGAAAATAATAACTTTCGTTACTTTTTGCAAAAATAAACCTTGTTTGAAAATAATCATATTGGAGAGTAATAGTAGTAAAACATTCAGTTTGGCCTTTAATAAATAATAAAAGAATATTTTGGGTGTAAAGGAGAAGGTTAATCATTACTCTAACCAGTGTTGCTGAAACCATTGTGTTTTAGAGAGGTGTCATTAGTGACATGAACAGTATTGCACTCTGAAGACAGCAATTTTCTTAAATGTTTTGGCTTTCAACATCTCTTCTTAAAAAACTAATTTCACATCTGTTGCTGGTTAAAAAATTCCATTCCCTGTTGCTTTCCTATCTGACAAGTTAGACAAAAAAAAAACTTGTCAAACGAAGGTGTGCCGTCATGTAAAGTGGAGCACACCCACTGAAAAACTCCACTACCTCATGAGTGCTTCACAATTGATTTAGTAACTCACCTTAGAGGTATATCTTCTTTTACCTGCTGTCTAATAAGAAACTATCACATATAAATACCCTTAGTTTTTACAGTCACAACAAGTAAGGTAGGAAAGGTCCAGGAAGAGCCAAAAATGGAGCCAGAAGACAAGGAAGGGAGCTATCCTTTGCTTTATGCTGACTCAGTGCCGATGCAAATGGACAATAACTTCTTACAGTTAAGTAGCCCTACCAACAAATAAATGTTGTTTCTAGGTTTATGTCATAGCTCGCATGTATATATCAGGTGTAGCTAATGCTGTTATATTTAATGTAAACCAAAGTTAGATCATTGAATGTTTGCATTTGTCAGACTTTTAGATGGCTGTCTTAAAATGCTAAATATCCTTCTGTCATGATTTATAAGTGAAGTGTATATAGGACCCTTTTTCATCACCTATATGTTTCATCTTCACACTTCAGTCTGCCAGTTCCCTTTACTGATAACACCGACAATACGGTGTTTACAAGGTACAAAGTTTTCAGAGCAGCATCTGAGGGGGATGCTGCACAACTTGACGGCCTGCTTCAATACCTGCAAGTCAATAAGAAGCGACTTACGAGCCCAGATTTTATAGGTAAGACGACGGGAAGCAACTGCATTGTGCCATTCTTACCAAAATGATTTATTTGCATTTTACAGTGGGAAATAAAGTTGGTCAATCACTGATTGTCAGAGGTCTCCTACTTAGAAATATGAGAGAGGTCTGTAAATTTCATCACAGGTACAATATGAGAAGCTAAACGAGGGGAAAATCCAGGAAATCCCACTGAAATATTTTTAAAGAATTTATTTGTAAATATGGTGGAAAATAAGTATCTGTCACCCAAGAATGAACACGACATAATTTCTGTCCTTCACAGACTTGTTACTTTGAGAAGCTCCTCTGTCCTCCACTCATTATCTGAATTAATGTCACATGTTTGAACTCAATAACTGTTGTTGTACAAATAAGATATACTAAATGCACCCCACCTGATTAATCCAGGTGTGTCTGGCCATTCTCATCATGGCTACTGAGGTGATACACACCTGAATAATCAGTTTTGCCATTATAAAAGACAGAAAACAAAGGAGCTGGCTGAAGTTACGGAAGTTGTTGAGTTGGACATATAGCAAATTCCTGTGATTTGCAGGTTCTCTCCTCAAACACCATGGGGAGCAGGGTTTCATGCCCTGTGGATGTGTCATAGAAATCGTGCGGGAGAAGGGAGGGTTGCAAAACTAAGGTGGCAAACCTGCATCCTCCTACCCCAATAATTATGTCAATTTCAGCATGTGCTAAATTAATATCAAGCTTTATTGCTCAAGAAAAGATACTTGTCCATTACCTCAAACAGTGAAAATCCAAACTTAGCATGGCCAAGACCAAAGAGTTTTCGAAGAACACCAGGAAGAAAATGTTATACTGGGAAGAGGCTGGGGAGAGTGAATCTAGAATAGGTGAGCAGGTTGGAGGAATAAATGATCCGTGGAAGCAAATGTAAGAAAGCAGAAGTCATACAAAACTATTGATAATTTCTCTCCATCTGGGGCCCCATGCGAGATTTATCCCATGGGTCAAAATCTCAGAACTTTAAGGAGGGAATGAGTTGCAGACAGTTGCGAACAAAGTAACAAAAGCTACCATCAGTAACAAACCACACTGAGAGGCACTGCATGAAAAGTGAGATTTTCGTCCCCGTAAACCCCCGTAAACTCCCGCAGATCTGCCTGATTTTCGTCAGTTTCCGACAATTTGCAACCCGTGCTTGTCCGCGTTTGTCGTGCCACAAATTGTCGAAAACGTACCGTGACGTATGTGGAGAGCGATCAGCTGTACTAATGGCCCTAATTAGCATATGAATGCAGCAAACCCGCGCGGCTGGCCAGGTCTGGCTTGAATAACCTTCTCAGTATTGGCTGAAACCACTATTCTCAAACAAGTAAAATCGCTCGTGATTGGCAGCAAAACCACACGTGGCCACGCCAGGCTTTAATTTTCTTACTGAGTATTGGACGGAACCACTTCTTTTTAAACAAGTAAAGTCGCTCGTGATTGGTTGGCATATATATATATTTACATATATATATTTATTCATATATATATATATATTTATTTATTCATTCATATATTTATTCATTCATATATTTATTCATTCATATGGTGTGTATTTATGTTATCCTACACTACTACACAATTATTATGCTACCATCAAGGACATGAATGAATTTATACAGGAAATGAAGATTTGCCGGGAAGCTGATTATGCAAAGAAAGAGCTTTATTAAAACACACACAACTATATACAACGCGTATCCAAACACATGCGTTTCTAAAAATTAAAACTCCGTGAACGGTCCGTTTGCTTCCTCGGGGTTGGAGGTAACTGGCAGCATTCCCTCCGAGGCAGGTCCGATGTGCAGACGCCTACTGTGCGTGGCTCTGTACTTCGGCATCGCTTCTAACCGGGACTGCAGCTTAACACAGAGTTCAGTGAGATCCGGCCTACGAAATGGCTGCGACCGTACAATCCATCCAGAGACACCGCGACGACGGCGGACTTCCAGAGTTCCACTTCCTCATCTGCTAGCACACTCTGCCTCGCTTTCAGCAGCTGAAAAAAAAAAATGAATCAGCGCACTGCGTATGGACACAACACATCTATCAATGCACCTGAAAAATAGTCACCAAATAAAGTCTTACCCTCTTTCTTCTGGCCCGACTCCGAGCAGATTGCCTCCGCACGCAGCGTGTTGGCTGGCAGCGTATATCTGAAGCTCCTGCGTACCGTCTGAAAATACGTCTTACAGGCAGCTGGAAAACAATTAAATGAGAGTGGTATGAATAAAAAATCAAACGCAAGTCACAGTAACAAGGAAGGAGAAAACATTAAAACAAGTCACTTACACACAATGTCGTCTTTATCAACATCGTGCAAATCTGGACTTGCCGAGATGGGAGGTCTGTGAAAACAAAATGTAGAGCTATGATCGGTATCCATCCGTATCCATTTTCTTTTAGCGCAGAATGAAAGCATATTCTTTAAATCTTACCCTTGCTCCGGTTCATAGCGCCTGCAATTAGTCTCCGAGTTGTTAAGACGGCGTACTGCTACCTGTAAATCACAAAAAATACACTTTAATAAAGCTTGTTCTAGCAAGGCTACTATTAGCCGCTATTAGCCGTAGCTCAGGCTAGGCCGCTTTTAGCTTAGCAGGCAGTAATCGAACATATATTTACCGCTAGCATCTCTTCTTTGAGTTCGTCTTGTTCGATGCAGAGTCGCCATCGCGTCCAAGAGGAGTTTTACCCCGAAATCCAGACGCTCCAGACCGCCTGCACAAAGCAAAGCATACATCCTCCACTGTGGCTGCACACCCCGCCACTCTGAGTTTCTTGGAGATCGTAGAGCGCATGCGCGAGATGAACCAGGGTTTCCGCGGATCAATAAAAATAATTAAAAAATCATTCTTTTTTTTTTTTTAAATCAAGGCCTTAATTTGCACTAAAATTATTTAAATATGTTTATCGAAGTATTTATAATTCTTTAATAAAAAATGCTTATAAAAACAATTTCGTCAGATATATTATATCGCTCCAGGCGGAGAAAAAGCTAGAGGATATATATGTACGTATATATGTGTGTGTGTGTGTGTGTGTGTGTGTGTGTATGTGTGTGTGTTTACATACATACAGGAGTCATGGAACTCTGCTTGCAGCTCCTTCATATTTCATGTACACTAATAACTTGTGTACATGGTTCTTGATGATGGCATTAAAATCATTTCAAATAGCATTAAAATAGCATTAAATTAGAGTCACTCATTCCTGTATGAACCCTGTGAGCGCTTAATTTAATATGACATATTAAAAAAATCCCACCATCATCCAGCACATGTTCAGTTTCTGCCCAAATATATATATATATATTTTTGTAGATTTTTGTAACGGGGATAAGGATAATTCAAAACTGCTTTTTTTTTAATGAACTTGTTCACTACTTCCAAACTCAGCATCTCTTTTCATTCCTGTAATAAGAAGTTTCTTTCGAATGGATTTGATTAAAGTTTTGGTCCCTCGGTATAAAATAAATATTTTGATGGAGATGAGAAATCTGCTTCCTTGTTGGTGAATAACCAATAGTTTGGATCCAATCATTTAAATAAACGGTGTTAGTTTTTTTTTTTTATATATATATATAAGAATTGTGCTATAATTTCTAGTCACCGATCTGTTGCTGCTATATTTTAATTTGACGAACCGGAATTTGTCGATGTTCTTTTTCCTGTTTGGTGCGATTGCAATTGCGGATCTTGACCTGGCCGGACCTTATGACCACAGTGTACCAATCTTCTCATGGCTACTTCCAACAGGATAATGCGCCATGTTATAAAGTAAATCATCTCAGACTAGGGTTGGGAATTGAAAAGATTTTCACGATTCCGATTCCCTTTTCGATTCTATGAAACGATTCGATTCTTTATCGATTCTTTTTTCGATTCCAATTTGGGGGAAAAAGGAGAACAAACAGTTTGATTATCAGAATCAACTTTGTTTACTTAACTATTGCACAATCTTACAAACTCAACAAGATCAAGATGTCCACAGGAAATGTGAAACTGGAGTAACATCTGTGTTTAAATGAAAAATGAATACAAGAACAAACTTAATAACCAACAATGTCTAATAACAAATGATGGGATAATAACCTATTTTAAATAACAAAAAATACTAATTATAAAACAGTAGTAGGGAAAATTAAGTTATTTTGCAGAAAGATGAGCATATCTGCTTTTTCTGGAAGGATACGGGATCTTTCAGGGCTTATGGTGTCTCCAGCCGTGGAGAACACCCTCTCAGATGGGGTGGAGGAAGCCTGCACACAGAGGTAGTTTTCAGCCTGTCCAGATAGCAAGGGCAGCACATCTTGCTTGTTCCACCACCACCACAGTGTGGCGCTATCCCTGCAGGGGATGGAGGGCAAGCTTTTATAGAGCTGGATTTCCTGATCTACCCTCTGGGCTAAGGAAAGACGGGGCTTTGATTCACAAAGTGACCGCAGCTCGTTGTCTTCCTCCTCGAATAGTTCTTCTAACTTGCGTAACTTGCGTAAGTTGCGTAACTTACGTAAAAAAACGTGACGTAAGTCGTGCTCCCTAGAGCCGGCGCACTAGGCTCTGGTGCTGCGGGAATCGAAAAAAGAATCGTTCAGCGAGCTGCCAAACGATGCCATGGAATCGGAAAATACGGAACCGGTTCTTAACAGGAACCGGTTTTCGATTCCCATCCCTATCTCAGACTCATTTCTTGAAACTTTTCCACTTAAGTAATTGTGAATTGAGCATATTGACAGACAACATTTTATTTTTTATCTTAAATGCAATTTTTTTTTTTATAATTACTGCTCTAAATGTATTGCTTTGTCAGCTAAAGATCTGTTTTGGTCTCTATGCTTTAATTAAATAAATCAATTCAAGCTAAAATGTAAGAGGCTATACTAAGCCTGATCTCTTTGTATCAGAGAATTTCTTACCCAGAAAGATGTCACTTGGAGTAAAACCCCCCTGCAACCCTGATTTGCATTTGTATAGCTCACAGCATGTTCATTTACATGTTAAAGCCTCCCCTAGAATTCCATGAGGGGGAGGCATGGGGGGAACACTGCCTAAGAAATTCCACGTCAATTTCTGACAATTTACGGGAGTTTTCGGCAAAGCCTGCAAATTGTCGTAAACTGCCGCTAACCTGAAGTTCCACGACAATCTACAGTGCCGCATATTGACGAAAATCCCACTTTTCATGCAGTGAGGGATTAAATCTTGCAGATACAGGTGTGCATCACTGATAAAGCCTGTTCATATCCTGGCTGCCTGAAGTTTGCCGGAGTGAGCATATGGACGATCCATAGGAGAATATCATGTTGTGTTATCTAACAGATAAGATTTGTTTCATTTTTCTTTCAGATGAATCTAATGGGAAAACAGCTCTCATAAAAGCTTTGCTGAAACTGAAAGATGGCAAAAACGACACCATTGAAGTATTGATTGACATAGCAGAGAAGACCGAAGACGTAGACAGTTTTATCAATGCAGCTTACACAGATGACTGTTATAAAGGTCAGAAAACGTTTATACATTATTTTATAGTTATTTTAACACTAGACAGTTGGCTTCTATTACATCAAAAGCTGTTTTTTCAAATCTCCATCTACAGGCCAGACGGCCTTACATGTCGCCATTGAAAGAAGGGCGTTTGACTACGTAAAGCTGCTGGTGGAAAAAGGGGCTGATGTCCAAGCAAAGGCCAGTGGGACATTTTTCCAGCGTAACTTAAAGCTCGGCTTCTATTTTGGTGGGTAATTTTCCTCAGAGGTTTATCATGAGCAACTTCAAGTTTTTGGTCCAGTTCTCTATCTAATATTAAGACTTTGTTTTCCAACAGGTGAGCTGCCTCTGTCCCTGGCTGCCTGCACCAATCAGCCAGAAATAGTTTCATTTCTCATGGAGAACCCTTATAGCAAAGCCGATCCTACTGACAAAGACGCCCAAGGGAACACAGTTTTGCACACTCTGGTGGTGATAGCAGACAACACACAAGAAAACACAGAAATTGTTGCAAGTATGTATGACAAAATCCTTGTTCAGCACTACAAGCTCAACAAAGACAGCAACATACAGCTGGAATCGATTGAGAACAATAACGGTCTGACCCCGCTGAAGTTAGCTGCCAAACTCGGCAAGATCGGGGTGAGTCTTTTTTCTGCCGCATGTTCTCCTTTTTTCATTAGTGCTTATTCAATTATGCTTGACTCAAATTGGCTCTTTTCTACTTTTTTGTTAATTTTACTGAAATAACTTTGTACCCTCAAAATGTGGATAGGAGAATAAATCGCAAGGTTGACTTAAACTCCAAAGTACTAATGTTTTTTGTTAATAATATTGGAGTATAAACCTAAAAAGTAAGTAGAGCCATGGAATGAACCATTTTGAGTTAGCACCAGTGGAAAAGGGGGTAAATAAGTACCTTTGTTAATTTTTGCAATGTTAGTGCAAGTGTATTAATCTCCTTTTTCATATTGCTTTGGCCAGCTTTTCAGGCACATATTGAACAGAGAATTTACGGACAAGGAGACATGGCGACTATCAAGAAAGTTCATTGAATGGGTCTATGGACCCGTTCACTCTTCTCTTTATGACACAACTTTCATTGACACCAATGAAGACAACTCTGTGCTGGAGATTATCATCTATGGGAAAGAAGTTCCGGTCAGTATGTCATATTTACTTTCATCTGTTTTGTCAATTGTTTTTCTTATTTCCTATTAATGAAGTTAGTCACTGAATTGATTTTTTTGTGTCAAGAACTTTGACTATCAAGGACGTAAATGGATAAATATTATAAACCTGTGGAAGTTATTAGCTGCCATTATATATTCTGCAGTAGATAACTTGATTCATCCATCCATCATTCACCAGTCAGTGAAGGTTAAAGCGGTTGTTAGCAAATATGTTAAAAAAACGTGGTGTGACACAGCACACCAACTGCTCTGGAATTTATAGGAGGCTCAGGCTTAGCAGATTTCACAATGTCTCCCTATCCTTATTCATCCCACTGAACTCACTTAAGTGCACATTGTGTTACCGTTCAGTGCTGACAGTTTGTATATAAATTATAAGTGTTTTTAATTAAGAGTAATTTTTATTTGAATGAGCTTTACTGGAGGCATCCATGTTTGTCAAAGAACACTACTGCCACCTACCGGTTTGTGACGTCACCGTGCGGTATTGGCTGTCCCAATGCTGAAATCTGGTGTTTGTCACACATAATCTATACCTAAAAATTGATCTTTAATTCCTCCTTTCTAATTGTTAAAGAACAGGTGACTCATTAAATAATTGAAATTACGAGAAGTTCTCCTCGTGCATAAATGAATGCCATTGTAATGAGTTAAATAATTAATTAACAAAGTATTTTATAGGGGGTATCTGATGTCCCATGAATTAAATTAAATTATTTGAAGCTGTTTATTCAAGTGTGTAACAGGTTTTTATATGATCTTATGTTAAATTAGTTTTAGTGTCTCACCGATTTTGACAGTGATTGAGACACAGTCTGAATCGGTTAATGGGTTGGTAACAGCAGAAAACCTGCTGAGAGGTTGTTAAACTATGGTCTGGCGCTTTGAAAACAAATAAATCCTACCAGGTTTCGAGAGAGCACAGCTGCTATATACAAAGTAGAATAAGTGAAGTCTCTGTTGATCGGACCAGGTTTTAAACAAACTTTCCTCAAGTTATCAGTACAGACCACAAAATTGTCAGGATACCACCATAAAAGTGTTTGAAAGACCACATGTGGCTACATATATGGTCCCTTGTCAAATTATACAGATGTTCAAAAAAAAATAAAACTCAACATTGTTTTGGCATAATTTCATATCAAGTAAAACTAATTTTGATCTCCTGTGATGACAGTCTTATTATATTTATGTAACGGGTACCGTAGCAACGGCACCTTGGCTGACAGATGTACTCCTGATAAACAGGAGAGAGATGAGGAGACGGCTTGTCAGTTTAGAATATCAAGCAGTAATTTATTCAAGTTTCATTTTTAAATACACTCATGTGTTAAATTTCTTTGTTTATGTTCAACATATTCAAAGTTCAATGTCCTCTAAACATTCTCACTGAATTTCAGTATTCATCTCAACACATAACAAAATACATCTCTTCCAAAAATACATATTCACTTACTTTTCAGTTTAGTATTTTAACCTATTTACCACAAATTAAATACATAGACAATGGTATAATAACCAGCTTAATGTTAACGTTAATTTTTAACTCCTCATATATCTATTTTACTTAGTTTTGAATCAAGACATTACTGCATTTTAACCTCATAAACCTTCAGTGCTTAATATAAACAAAACTCATTTTAAACAGTCACCCTTTTCCCTTCATGAACTCATTTAACAAAACTAATGGTTGGGACCTTACAGCCGGCAAAATAAACAATAGACATGGACGTTGTGAGCAAGGGCGCAGATAGCGTGTACGTCAGGGGTGTTCTGACGTACACAGATTCGAATGACCCTCAATCCGTCCCCCCCACTTTTATAAAAAAAAAAAAAAAACATATGGCGAAACTCACAGAAAATCAAAAAGCTTTTTCTAATTTACTGCTTTGCAACAACAACATAAAACAGTCAGATCATAGACGGGCAATCGTTTTGTTTAACTGCAGGCTGCCTGCGTCGTAGAGATTCAAATCTAAAAGTTATCCTGTCTCTGGCATTTAAGTCTCGAGCCTGGTTTCCATGGTTACTCAGACAGACAGTAGTGGCGGGACAGTTCCCAATTCCGGAGTCCGGACATCAACATGAGGCCAGCCAAACCGAAAAAACAGAAAACAATTGCATCCTTTTTTCGAAAAGCACCAACTGTAAGTAAACTGTTCATTGCGGTATCATATCACCTTGCATTTTTTTGGTTGTCTGTTCGATGTCGCCGTGGAAAAAAGAGTGGAGACGGTCAGTGAGAATAGCGTGAAGAGAGGTGCCAATGTCATAAGGCGGGAGGCAGGGGGAATCGACTGGCATTTATTTATTTATAATTAAATCGACTGTTCCGACTTTTTCTGTAGTTGTTGGGGGTCTTTCAGAAATATGTAGGCTACAGTAGGCTACTTGAATCCGTATTTATGCCAAGCCAAATGGTTTAGGTTGTTACAGGTTGAATCATGAGAAAAACGAACTTCAAAGCTAGACAAATTCCACTACACAGGGGCGGATTTTGGAAATTTTGGGCCCTAGGCAAAGACAGGCATGGGGCCTTCTGAATTGAGAAGACAACATATAGAACAGACCCATTATACAGATACAGAAATTTTAATAGAATAGAAATTTGAGGATGTCATGTATCTTCAAGTTTGTCTATGTCACTGTAACTCGGAGGAAATAATATCTCTCTCATATATATATATATATATATATATATATATATATATATATATATATATATATATATGTATATTAGGGCTGCAACTAACGATTATTTTGAAAATCGATGAATCGGCCGATTATTTTTTCGATTAATCGATTAATCGGACACAAAATATTTTTTTTATATTAACCTCTTTATTCCAAAATAAACATTTTAGACAGAACAAACAAGCACACAAGTACAGGTTGCTCATTAACTGTACTGGTGCTATATGAAAAATTAAATGTTTGCGTTAAAACTACGCAAACTTACATGAGAAATGTAGCTGTACATCCACAAAATATAGGGTACTTTGTTTCATAAAGCGCAAAAAGAGACATTTTTGTTTTTTAAAGCCCCTAAGGGGTTCAAACAATAGGCCCCCCCCATTTCAACAAATTAGGTTTTTTTAGACTAGAAGAGTTCTGCCTTTTAAGACAGGAAAGTATAGCAGTTAAAGTTACTACTTGAGAAAATACTGAACCATAGAGATAAAAATAGCCCTGTGATTCAAATTATAAATTGTATTTGGAATAAAAATGAGAGAAGTAGGGGTGCTAAAAAACACATCCTCCAAAGACAGATATTTACATGGGAATGTGGCAGATAATTAATTGACATATTACTGATCTTGCTGGATTTTATTCTGCTTTACTTCCATAAATTGCAGGATCTTCTTTACTTTATCTTTGCCAGAAGATTTAAACTTTAAAAGCCTTGCCCTCATAATTTGCAAGTTAATTTATTTATAAAGAAAATATAAACGCTGCTTAAGCTAATTCAAATGAAATTAAAAGTAAAATAAGTAGCCAACCTTATCACTGTCTGTAACCTACTAACAAGCTAAGGAAAGCATCAGATGAGCTACCTGAGAAACTAACTTACGTTTCCCCACTTTAAAATGAAACAAACATGGTTACTCATCCTGCTGATCAGCTCTCTTCACTGCCATCGAAGGCTCCAACATGTTTTCTTTTCAGGTGCTGCGTCATAACAGTGGTGCTTCCGTGCCATGTTTATTTGTCTTTACAAAAGTTGCATGTTACGACTTTTTTCACTTTACAAAGGCTATTTTAATTATTGTGATCAATTTGCGCCGTCAATCCCGGGGCATGCGCGCTTCATTTGCAGTCTGGACGCTGAGGGTAAACTCCTCACTAAAATCCTGCGGCTCGGACTGCAGCGCTGAGAGGGATTCTTGTGGGAGAGGGAGAAAGGCGTTGGGATGGGGGAGGCGCCCCACGGCAGCAGCTGCCGCTGGAGGACAAGAGTAGGAACGATACATGCTTTCACGTAAGAGTCTCCAAAAGCCGCCAGTGACACCGTAAAAAGTCGCCAGATTTGTCGCTAGTCGCTTTTTAAAAAAATAGTCGCTGGAGGGGTCTGAAAAGTCGCTGAGTTGGCAACACTGCAACTGCGGCGCTGACTCGCTCCGCCATATTTTTTTTTCTTCCCCGGGATGACGGCGGCGGCGGATGACGCATTAATCGCGCGACACAACTAATCGATGATTAAATTCGTTGCCAACGCTTTTAAAAGTCGATTTTTATCGATTTTATCGATTCGTTGTTGCAGCCCTAATGTATATATATATATATATATATATATATATATATATATATATAATGTGTGTGTGTGTATATATAAATAAATAAAAGGTGCATGTCACAGGAAAGACTAGTGATGTTACAAATATGACAATTGCTTAAACTACAGAACAGTAAATTATTTAATCTATAATTAACATGGCCCTTAACATCCCCAGCTGTACACAATAACACACATTAAAGCAATGTTAATACAAAGCTGTAAAGTAGAGTGAGACGTTGATAATAACTTCCTTATGTTTTTTGAATGTATAAATTTAATTATAAAGGACTAAAACACCTAAAACTTATGGGTGATTTTACAACATTTAAAAGCCTGAGATTTTACTGAAATTGGGGCTACTGGGGCTCACTGGCCTTAGATGTAATGAGCGAACTGGAAGTGCTGAATACATCGCTCCAAAAAAGCACCCAGACATTGGAGGGCATGGTCTCTGCAGTCTCAGTTGTCCAAGAGAGATTACGGGACAAAAGAAAGCCAGCCCACTTTGAGGCAGTCTTTAAGGAAGCAGTGGATATGGCTGAGAAGCTGTCTCTAACACATAGGCCCCCAAAGAGATATTCTGGGCCAGCACCTGCACACAGGCCAGAATCTGCTGTGGAGTACCACAAAGTGGAGTTCTACAGAGTTCTTGACAAAGTAGACACACAACTTTCTTCATTTGAGGCCATTTATTGAAAAGCCATGTAAAGTACTTATTTACAAATTTGTTTTTGTATATATGTAGGCTTTGCTGTTCGTGTTTCTGTGTGTTTACAGCCTGCACTTAAAGTCAGTCCATGTTTAAATAAAACCTTTTTTTTTTCACACGTCATGTGGCATGTTTGGTGAGTACTTGGTACCAATACATGTTATTTTCTTGCAATGATGGGCAATTAAGATTGATGGGTTGTCATAGCTGAGTAATAGCCAGTAATAGGGCTCAGGATCCACGTTGCATTGTGGGACGTCGCAGCCATATTGACTGCTACGCAAACGTAAGCATAGCTCTGACACAACGTTGTTGTTGAAAGAAGAGACAGAAGTAGAGAGAAAAAAGATGTTAAAATCCCGAAAAGGATCTGGAATTTACCGGGACACATTAAATAGAGAAGCCAGGGACCGGTATGGTGACAAAATCAGCATTGTTAATCATTTGGATCCATATAAAGTTCCAAACAATGAGTGGAGCACCAATGAGTGAGCGCCTATACTTCAAAACAGTTCCCAAGCTACAAGTCCCTGGAGTCTCATGTGCAGTTCATGAATGGATGGGTTCAGGAGCTGCAGATCATAAAGCCAGCAAACAGTGGGAACACAGTAATCCGTAAGAAGGTAAGCTGTGATCAGAGGGGCTCTGGAACCTGCTAGTTTAGCAACTGCTAACCGCTAAGGCTAACAACCACTCACGCATGTAATGTACTTTTAACTAGCTGCTATGTGTTTCAAAGGTGTATTTAGTAACGTTAACTGCCAACCCTCCGGGTTTCTCGCGTATTTGAGCCTTTTCCCGCTGCCGTTTTTATTATTTTCCCGTAAAAGATCCCAACTTTGAAGGAAAGAAACACTGTAGGCTATAAAATAAAACCGTGCATCTTTAACTTACCAGAATGAAAATGCAGGGAACACACTCTCATTGACATCGGAATACTTTGGAAAGTTATGTTCGGTCGTCTTACAGCCGCGATCCAAGCTAGCCGACGACTCTTTATCTCTGACGCTTGGTCTCCATGGTTACGCCTCCAGTCAGGAAAGCGGTGGAAAGTTAACCCATTTTCTATGTTTCCATGGCGATCATGTGTTGAGCTGTTACAGCCCACAATACAGCAACGGTTTACCATGGTTGAAATCAAGTTAAGGTGAAATTAATCAAATTAAAACACGGCTGAGAGGGAGTACAGTACGCGGTAGTCATAGGCAGTAGTCTGAGCTGCTGTAAAAGACGCATTCAACATGGCGGCGACGCGAAGTGCTTACGTCACGATGACCAAGCCCTATAGTAACTGTCCCCCACAGTTTCAAAAACCTATCTGCGCCCCTGGTTGTGAGTTTCTTTAACATCACCGAGGCGCACATTCACGTAGGGGAGGCGCGCTCATTACCCCAAGCTGGTCTCTACCAACGGGCAGGTCGCACGCGCAACTGCCGCACCGCGACCGCGCGCGCAACCGCCGCACCGCGGCCGCGCGCGACCGCGCGCGACCGCTGTACCGCCCAACGGCCAGACCCATCCTCGACACTCTAAACCCACTTCAAACCAAATCACACAAACTCCCCGTCTAAAACCACAACATAGACTGGTCAACCAGCATCCCTGACACATTTCATCATGGGTCATCCCTAACTTCAAATCATATATGTACATTTACCCACCTGACAAACAGGAGAGAGATGAGGAGACGGCTTGTCAGTTTAGAATATCAAGCAGTAATGCAGGAAACCGCGATGCGAGACACTATAACGGGACCCTGCCCTCCCCCCCCCCCCCCCTGCTGGCAGGGAGTAAACATTGCAACACACACATTGAATGTGAAATCAAATCACCATGTAAAGAAATGCAAACCAAAATAAAACATAACAGTTTGTATTCAAAATAAAATACAATTTTCTCTTTCTTTTTCAAAAACACAAAATGTGACACTTTTGTGGTTGTCACATTTACACATAGCCTTACCCATTTGTTTTGGTAGGATTTGATGTTGTCCATTCACGGCCCTTAAGCATTTCTCTATGGTTGCTGATTACTCTAATCACATGTTTCGTGTATGAGCTGCCAAATAGCAGAGTTACCTTCAGAGCAGATGGGATGGTGAGCAGGGAAAGCCTATCAGAAATGCAAATTGGTTGGTAGTAATCCAAAGGCAGGGATCTAAATCTATACCATCTCTAAGTCAGCTGGTGTGTTGAGAGGGCCCTGTGAAGAACTGCTAAAGGGAGTTACCCATGTTGGCTCCACACTAGCTAAGGGGCCTTAGTTGTCTGCAGTACTTTCACAGAATGGAGCTTGGCCTGCAATTCTGACACCCTGGCCTTCAAAGCTAACTGTAATTGTTAAGGATTAGCAGAACTGCATTGCTATATGTGCTGTCTGAATAGTGCTGACATGAACGATGGAGGAAGGATGCTTCCTATCAATGGTTCATATAGTGTAGGGACCTCCTGATGTTCCTATCTGGAACTAGGGACCCTTACTGTACTTCCACAATCCTCACCTTCCTGTTATCAGAACTCTGGGTTATAGGATTAAAAATCTCAATTGCAGAGGAGAAATTAAAAGAAACAGGCAGAGAAATCCCTCTAAACATATGCTTATCACATACCGGTGAGTTTCAGACTGAACAACACACTCAAACAAAAATTGCTTCATCCCAGAGACAGAGCACCTAAGCTGAGCAGCTTTGTTTATCCAGTCAACTGCGATGAAGACTGTTCGGATTCATACATTTGAGAAACCAAACAACAATCTCCAAACTGCGTGGCACAGCACAAGATAGCCAGTAGCTCTGGGCAAGATCCAGCTGGATACTTGTACTTTAAGAACAAAGGACACACGCTTTAGAACAGAAAGACAGAGAGGACAGATGGTGGGAGAGAGAGGTGACGGAAGCCATCTTTGCTAAATGAGAAAAGCCATTACTGAACAGAGGGGTATGCATGCAGTTTAATCTTCCAAGCTTCTATAATTTGGTCCTGGAAATTCATTCCAATTAGGTTATACTACCACAATCTTCATGATTCAAACAGCCAAACACAAAACCCATAATAAGCGAAGGACTCTAACAATCCAGGTAGAATGATGGATGGATTTTTTATTTCCATCTGAGTTATGAATATTCTTAGGAAGATGGTCTCTTTGCTGCTTAAAAAAGCAGTTCTCCAAATATAGATCAGTCTAGGTTGTGCAGCATCCTGTTTAGATGTGTTTCTGTTTCCACACACCATAATAAAATGGCTGGTTTCCTAGTATGCAGTCAAGTTCTCCTAAGTTTTGCTAATTAACTAATTATCTAACTCAGATGTGTTAGAGCAGTAACACACCTGAGGGATGCCAGACACTGGATCTCAAGGACTGGGATAGAGGAACCCTAAAGTTGTGTGAGCTGACGGAATTTAAAAAGACAAAGAAAAGACAAAACTACAAGGTAGTTTATATAGGACTGACAAATAAATACCCATCCATGTCATGCAAATAATTATTAGTAGACAATTTTAAAGAAGAAGTAAAGTAATATTCTAGGAAGTTGTGACTTCTTCACAACCACAGATCAGTTCTGCAAACAAAAGGTAACAGAGCAACCATGTTTTTTTAGAGAATGCCGTGCAAATGATTATTAAAAAGTGACACAGAGTAAGTAAAAACATTTTTTGTAAAGACGAGTAATGCTAGCATCATGGGAATGTTTTGCTTCAGCACTGGTGAACTAGAGGGAGGAGGAAATTAATGAAGGAAAAAGACTACATTCACATCTTAATCCTCCCCACAAAGTCTAACATTAGGTTACTGCTATGGTTACAAGGGCAAAATTTCCTTAAGTCTGTTTATTTGCAGCCATAAATGCAACAACAACTACAAGATGCTTATTCAAACAAATATTAGTGGCCTGTGCTTAGATAGTGGTTAACTCAAGTCAGAAAAGTGCAAAGTGATTTACTCTACATTTAGTCATTCACCGAGTCCCACACAAATTGAAATATTGATTCAACCAAATATTAGCAAGTTGAGCCTGTTTGTATGTTGGATTTCTAAACCCTGCATGATAAGAAAACCAATCAGAAATTGTGTAGACTTATTTATTATTGATAAAAATATGATTACAGTTTTAGAATGTTTATTCATGGTTGGAAAACAATGCATTAAAAAAAGCCCTTTGTGTCTCTGCTGGGTGGATAAACCTCTCCCAAAATCTACAAACAGGCATTTTGTTTATATTCTTTTCACTAGTCTGGAGTAGGACAACTTATACAGCAAATGCCCACTATCACTCAAACCACAATTGGCATGGCAGGGATGTTTTGATGATTCACAAAGGTGCGGCGTTCTTAAACTAATAACCGTGGCAGGTTACTTTCAGCACAATCAGGAAAAACAAGTTTCAAACATGTGAATAATTTCTACATGTAACTGAGGCAGAGAAGGCATGGTGATTGCCACATAGTTATTAAAAACTGGGTAAGAAATATATTATAATAAGTTACAAAAAAAAAAAAAATGTATGCAACTTAAGGTCCTTTAAATCCGCTAAAGGTTTGAGCTACAACTTTAGGGATATTGGAACACATTTAATAGAAAAACCCAGGATTTAATTGACACTACTGAGCTTCCCCTCATTCAGAGAGGAGCGGATTATTGTATCATACAAAGTCATGCCTGTTGGTGTTAATATTTAATGTCTAATTGTAAAAACACAAATCCTACACGTTGGAAGTCAAAAGCACTTGAAGAGGGACAGCTGTTTGGGTAAACATAAATCTGACTGAACTTCTGTTGCAGAATCGCCCAGAGATGCTGAAGATCGAACCTCTACACAGCCTTCTTCAGGATAAATGGAATGGATTTGGTTCCAGGTTTTTCTTGGTGAGGTTCATATTTTATCTAATGTATCTGGCCATCTTCACCATTGTGACCTTCTACAGAAAAGATGGAAAGGTACGCAAAAAAAATTAACGCTGGTAATGTAGTGATGAATTTTAGGTGACAAACTCTTTTGCCATTTCTATGATGCTAATATTCTGGTTCACCTACAGCCACCCTTTGCAGTGGAGAACACCCCAGAAGATCACCTCCGCTGTATGGGTGAAATTATCAGTGTCCTTGGAGCTGTGTGGTTTCTCTATAAAAATGTAAGGAAATAGAAAGTTTTCTAACATACTGTATCATATAAAACAGTACGCATTACCAGCAATGACATCTCCTTTTTTTAAAATCTTTAGATAACTACTTTCAAGAAGAACCCCCCAAATCTAAGTAATCTATTTACTGATGGATTCAGTGAAATTCTGTTGTGAGTATAATAACTTCTTCATTTCAACGTTACATACAATATTAAAGAGGGGGGGGGGATATGTTTTATGGCTCATTCCCAGGGCTTCAATCTTTCTGGGGTGGCACAAGACCTCTGATTAAAAGATGTAAAAAATATATATTTGCCACTTCACATGATTTTCTGTTGTTGAAAGGAATGTGCTATCAGTGTTATAGTGCAGTAAACTCTGGAAAAAATGCAGAGATTATTAATTTTATATACCATAGCAATCTGATTAAGCTAAACACATTGTCTGATCTGAAAATTATCAAGTTTTATTTCTATACTTACTGTATTGACTTGAACTGCATTGAAATTTTCATAGATTAAACTCTTAAATACCGTACTATTACTGATCTCACCTTAACAGGGAGGTTAAACACATAAACTATTATATTATTCTGCTTTGAAAAGACAGTCAAAAAACAGCTGATGAAACATCTGTTGAAAAACACAGAGACTGGGTTCTATTTTGACCATTAAGCTGAGGAGCCAACAGAGCGGCGGAGAGCTTCTACATGCTTTTCAATGTATCCAAAGGTTAGCCAGGGGTTTCCTCTCCCAAAGCCCCCAGTCAGCATCCAGCCCTTCTCACACAGCATACAGCATTACCATATAAAGTGATGCTGGAGCGTAGTTCTTATATGTTAACATAAGAATGTCTATTTAAACAGATACAGAAATGAACATATATCAAGAAATTAATCTTTAAAGGAAAGGAAAGTCCAGTGGATTGTTTTTTTAAATGCTTTCAAAAGTAAAACAAAGAAAAAAGTACACTATTATATGATAAAGAAATAATAAAAGTGAAAATCATAACTAAAAATAGGTAACAGAAACACCAGACGTGGGGGGGGGGGGGGTAGTAGGTTACGGCATCAAAATTCCAGATTCCTGGTTCTGAACTCATGAAGAAGCCCATGACCCCTCTTAGCAGTGTTGTGTTTATCAAAGATGACTAAATTATTTCATTGAAGAGTTATGGGTGTGGGCGTTGTTAACAAGACGAGACTAAATAAAAACATTAGTGGGAGGTCTGTCATTATGCTGTTATTCCGTAAAAGTTCAAAAAATCCACTGGACTTGGTTTCCAAAGTTTGAGGCTGTTTCGCCACGTCTCCAGGAAGCTTTCTCAATTCAAATGCGAAAGAAAGCTTCCTGGAGACGTGGCGAAACAGCCTCAAACTTTGGAAACCAAGTCCAGTGGATTTTTTGAACTTTTACGGAATGACTATGACCTGGATGACTGTGATCTGTTAGAATACAATTCAACTTTTATTGTCATTACATAGTCACAAATAAAAAGCAACAAAATCCACTCTTTGCATTTAAACCATCTCCTTGGGGAGCAGGGGGGTGCCATTGTGCGGCGCCTGAGGAGCAGTGTGGGGTTAAGGGTCTTGCTCAGAGACCCAGAGGGGGATTCAGTTGGAGTGGGGCTTGAACTCAGAACCCCTATCCACTAGGCTGCCACTCCCCAATATTTACTGACCATAACAATGAACAGGCAAGATCACAATGTAAATACTTAGTTAAGAATTGGAAATCAGTAAAGACTTTTTCTTTTAAAGATTTTTCTTTTGGGCTTACTCAAGCTATAAGATAATGTGATGGCTGGGAATAGAACTCAAATCGACTGTTTGGAAGTCAGTTATGCTCACCGCTATACCACCATGGCAGCCATAGACAGGCTAGGCAGGCTAGCCACCTGGTGTGCAGCAGTGCACATTCTGCAGGACCACAGATAAACCGTGGCAGCAGCGGCAAGGGTGAAATAAATCCTGAATGGTCTGGTACTGTGTGCTCAACACTGACAAACTCTGCTCTTCCAGAATGCGTCTTTTCCTTTGCTTATTTAGCCATGACTCTTTGCTTTACGCTCCACAATGGTGATTCACTCGCCCTCGCTACTTAATAAACAATATGTGGCTGATTGTCCTCTGCCAAGCGTTGAACTACATCTGCCTTTTTCACAACTTTTGTGTGACACGTTTTCATAAAGTAGGGCATTAAGTCATAAAAAAGTTTATTTTCATTCTAGAAATCAGTTTTCTGTCCAACAGCAACAATTGTAGTATCTAGGGAAGAGCTGCAAGTCTGGTAAAGAATCTGGTGTTATTCAAAATTGTAAAGGTTAACTTTTTATGAATTGCAATATAAAACTGATTAAAACTAGATTAAAACCTTTTTGAATTTTAGTCGACTAAAACCGACTAAAACTATCACATATGACTAAAGTCTGGGTAAGACTAATAATAGTTTTCGTCCTAAAGACTACGACTAAATGTAAGCTGGCTGTCAAAACAAAACTGCCTCTTAGCCATAAAACCTTGTCTGTCACCATGGTTCTGCTCATTTGTGAGGTTGCATTGGCTTCTGGTTTTTTTCTAAAATTTTTAACAGAGAAATTACTAAAACAGTGTATGAATTACTCCTCATGTGTATGTATTAATCTTTTTAGCAAAAATAGTTTTCAGCTATATATCTATGTAATAAATCTATGTCTTTACCCATGTAAAAACATAGTGTTAATGCATTCGAAGATATAAAATATTGATGCTGCTTGCTTTTTCTAACTGTTTTATGGTCAGATTACTAACAACAGTTATTCTCATGCTGAAAATAAGCAGATTAAATTGTGTTTAAATAAAAACAAGAGAAGATTAAATAATAAAAGAAGGGGGATTGATTTCAACATAATCCAGTCCCTTAATATTCACCAGATGTACATGATAATAATTTTATCTACAGCAGCTTCCAACAAAAAGAACAGAAATTGGAAAATCGATTGTAGTATGTGACTATTTTATGATCGAATTTATACTTAAAATTATGTTTTTTATACTGAACATATACTGATAATAAATGGTCCTTCTGACGGTTTTAATCTGGAATTGTGTCACCCCTGTTAAATTCTATAGTTTGGTATATTTTATCTTTCTTAAGGTGCCTTAAATGCATCATCTTTTACTTCATGCCCTTTTCATAACCAGTGAAGGCTGTCAATGTGTAAAAATTAAAAAACATCTAATTCACTTTTTTTGTTCTTTTATTATAAAAAAAACATAATACAAAAATACATAACATAATTATTCAACTCATATACACCAAAAACGATCAAATTAGTATGCAATGTTTTCTGAAACTTAAACTTCCATTTGTATTTAAAGTTCAGTTAACATGAAGGTTATCAAATTCTTTGGCATTTTTAGCGTAAAATGAAGTTGCTAGCTTTGAATCGTACGTAATGTTCCCAACATTGTTATTATTCATCAGCTTTGGTGCAGCGCTTTCATATATTGATGACTATTAGACCTTAAAAGACACCTATAAAACATCTTCATGTTTGCAGTTTCCTGCAGGCAATCCTTCTTCTGGTCTGTGTAATCTTGTACTTCTGCGGACGGAGGGAATACGTCGGGCTCCTTGTTCTGTCTTTAGCTCTTGCCTGGATGAATGTTTTGTATTACACAAGAGGTTCGAAGGAGCTGGGGATCTACAATGTCATGATGCAAAGGGTAAGAAATCAGAAGGAGATACAGTAACTGAGTTGTTTGGTGAGACATCTAGTTGACATTTTGTTCCTTTTTAGATGATCCTGGGTGACCTTCTACGCTTTTTAAGCGTCTACATGATCCTGCTTTTTGGATTTTCCGCTGGTAATACTACTAAGTACAAATATTTGCAAACTTACAGTGACTGTGTTTCATGCAGGTTATGGCTTCTATCAAACATGGCTTATTTTTTTTCCATCTGTAGCTGTTTGTGCCCTAATGAAAGACTCACCAGAAGATGAAAGAAATAAGAATTTGGGACTAGGAAGCAGCATAGATGTCAAAGCGACCGAATGCAGCAAGCCGAGTTATAATGACATCCGCTTCACCATACTGGAAATGTTCAAGTTCACGATCGGAATGGGAGACCTGCAGTTCGCCGACAATGTTGAATACATGGCAGTTTTCCAAATCCTGCTCATCGGCTACATCGTCCTCACTTACATCCTGATGCTCAACATGCTCATCGCTCTGATGGGCTTCACAGTGGAAAGACTCTCAGGGCAAAGTGAAACTATTTGGAACCTACAGGTGAGAAGATTTATCTAATGACAAGATTTACTTTATGTTGAGTATGTGCAACCCGGTTCAATGAAAAGAAACCATTTCAAACATGTATATTTACATAATAGGAAATTGGGTTAAAGAAAACACTTCTCTAGTTTGAAGAAGTTACGAAAACTATTTTTTCCTTTATCAGAGAGCTTCCACAATTTTGGACATGGAGCGCACTTTGCCGCAGTGCTTGAGAAGTAAACTGTACTCCGGAGCAACAGAGACGTTGCCCTTCGAAAACGAGCAGGACAAGGCTCGTAATTTTGTCAGGTAAGAGCTGCTGGATGTATTTGGGCTGGTAAGTACTGTAGTTTAGTTTTGGTCACTTCCATACTGGACTTTCTGAGGCATAAAGATCAGCTCCTACCACAGGATGATTCTTATTGGCCCCAAACTAATCAATTTATTCTTTGTCAACCAAGAATGACAGTAATACTACACCTTTTATGTTTTTTTTCAAAGAATATTATCCTGACAGATTTCCAAATTCTTAAATGGAAATGGCTAATTTACACTTTTTCTTTAATCAGCCATGCGTCTTTTTCTTTTATTTCTTAATATTTAGAAGGTAAGGCCAAAACAATAAATAAAATTAATAAATAACAATAAATAAAATTAATGAACAAAATATCAAAATTTACTAGGAGAACAGGAAATTCAAGATGGACAGAAAACAGGGCAAACTGATGCAGGAACAGAGGATTTCGTCGTATAACAAAAGCAACCAGTATAGAACATGCAAGTTGAGGAAAAGGTGGAGGATCTGATTTGATTTGATTAAATTTATTTCAGAACCCCATTTTCTTTGGCAATGCCAATTAATAAATGTAGGTGAGCTACTCAGGAGCTCATGAAACAGCTGGGGAAGAAGGAGTTAAGGCAGCCAGATGAGGGGCGGATAATCAACATCATTGGAGTAGAACGACAAGAATTATCAATCCATCCATCCATCCATCCATCGTCTTCTGCTTATCTGGGGTCGGGTCGCGGGGTAGCAGCTTCAGTAGGGAGGCTCAGACGTCCCTCTCCCCAGCCAATTAGGCTAGCTCCTCCAGAGGAATCCCAAGGCGCTCCCAAGCCAGCCGAGAAACAGAGTCCCTCCATCGTGCCCTGGGCCTCCCCCTGGGCCTCCTAACGGTGGGACGTGCCTGGAACATCTCACCAGGGAGACGTCCAGGACGCATTGCCAAGAATTAAACAAGACTAAATAATGCCATTGGTTTTAATGAAGGTTATTGATTTTTCTAAGCTGCACTAAATAGATAAATCAATTAATTAACTAATTAATGGCAGAAGCAAATGAAGTAATTGTAGATTTAACATATTTACAAAGAGAGAACTGGACTCTGAAGTTGAACATTTGTAAACTTGTTTTCTAAATTAGTTATGAATTTATGATATCAACAGAGGTTAGAGTCACCTAAGACTGCAATCAGGTAAGAATACCACTCTCCAACATGCGGTACCTCTGCCCAAGTGAGAGTAAAAAGTAGCATCCAAGACAGAAAGTAAATACAGAGTTTAGCCATAATTTCACTTCTAGTTCTCATGTTCTGATAACAATGACATTTAAATACAATATTAAAAATTAAATGTGTTTTGTCTGATTATGGATGCTGATTTAATAGCAGTAACATTTTGTAGATGGTGATGCGTTGCACTAACTGTTTGTCTCCTTTAGAGTGACTGAAATAAACTTGAAAAAATGGCGATCCAATCTTGGCATTGAGCGAGATGAAGACCCTGGAGACATAGAGAGGCACAAGAACAAACCTAGTATGGAAACATTAAGTTTACCTTTACTGCTGTTCGCTCTTCTTTAAAGTATACTAATAAATAATTTAAACTTTACTTTTTAGGGACTCGTTGGAACCTAGATAAGGTGCTCCAAAATATTCACTTGAGAAGACATCGATCGAATGACACCAGCGTTGCTTAGGTCAAACTCCTAAGGTTTTTTTTGTTTTGTTTTTCTTGTGGACATATTTTTTTCAGATCTTACCATATCCTTTTTTCTTAAAGGCATACAGTGTAACTTTTGGCCACTAGGGATGCTAGACCTGTAACTTTCATGTCTAGCATCCCTAGTGGCCACAAGCGCCGCAGCACTGTCGCGAATGTCAACAAGCAGTCAGACGTGGCCTGGTAGCTTTCTCTGCCTGTATTTGGCTTCTACTAAACATCAAAAATAATAAATAGATATGACTGTATACCAGGAGCAAAATGTAAACCTACCAATCTAATAGTAAAGTTTCAGTTTACGAATAAACAAATAAAGTATTTTCCAAGATCGATTCTTGTTTTTGCTCAGGCACAATGCCTTTCACATTTTCTTTTTTTAGCCTCCTCAGAAGGTTTAAACTTTTTCCTTGCCTCAGCCGTGACCAGTAGTCAAGCAGGCAGAAAAATAGTAGAGCAAAAGCCTTAGCTCTGTGACTCTAATAACAGCCCATGGCTGTAAAGCAATATGTTCATCCAGGTCACATGACCTGGCCAGCAACGCTGCGTCTTCTCCTAGCATACATAGGCGGTATTTCAAGAGGGGGGAGCCACATTTAGCATTGATATCGTCTAGCACTGTATATTGGCCTGAGAAATCATTTAAAATAACTCATATGCATCAACTATTTAGGTCAAAACGTCCGCGGTGTGCCTTCAACTTAAGAAAACAGGGAATGATCCTAACCTCTCTACCTGTGTTTATTTCAACATTGTTTAACTACCTCTAACTTTGTCGGAGGTTAAATTACCAAGATTAAACCATATATAATGAATTTCTTTTTACAGCTGACCTCCATGGAAGGAAAGAATTTTTAAAAATGCTTGAAAGTGAGATTAGCTTGCAGGAAATAACTGTTTGCTTGGTTCTTGAGATGAAAAAATAAATGTACGTGTACTTAGACATGTTCTTAGTATCTTAGAAAATAAACTCTGCATAAATTATGTATGTAAAGTTTCAAAAGATTTAAACTTTTTGTCTGCAGATGATTCAAGTGTAGATTATTCAAGATGATTCAGAGTAAATTTCGTTTCTACAGAAGTCGATGGTGAAAAAAAAGGAAATAAAATGGCAGTATTGAGCATGATTTTTGTCTGCAAACTCTGCTGGAATCTTTCCATGATTTTCAGTTTTAATCTGCTCAGGGATTTTTTTTTTATATTTTTAGATCCATGCCTTTAATATTATTGTCAGTGCAAATGGCTTCTAATCTTGTTTTTACCTTGAATATTTCTTTAACTTTGTTTAATTGCTGCATTTTTTTTTTTCTTCTAAAATTTCTTTTTATTTTTCCGTTGCTGTACATTTTATTCGATTTTTCTGCTGCTGTGATTATTTAATTACATGTGTAGGTGATGCTCTCATTGCCTATTTTCTTTCCCACTCACACCACTAATTTTACCCACTTTGGGAGAATGTAAGGTATTTCTTCTGAATTTTATTAAAACACTTTTAAATAAAAAATTAAAAACTCTCCAGAGGCATGTCAGTTCTTAGTAAACCAAAATATTTTGCATAAATTCTAAAGCGCTACACATGAAGACGGACACATTAGATTATATCATTATCATAAGCAAGGCAAGATTATAACAATTTTGAACTTAAACTGTTGAATTTTCCTATATATTATGTCACAATATAGACCATAATTTGAACATAGTCATAGGAAAATAAAAAGTATTGTTTGATTGGCCATGAAACTGGAGGAAATCAAAGCAGTAGTTCATCCAGGTCCCTCACAGGCCCCCATCATATGTAGGCTACTTAATAATCATTGTTAAAGTTGTTTTTAAATATAAAGACATTGTCATTACTGCCAAGACGATCAATCAGATGAATTGTGTTTAATCGATTTTGGAAATGATTAACTCATTTGGTGATCAATTTGAATCGCAAATTAGACTAATGGTACATAGAGTCTAAAATAAGATTTTGCTGAGAGAATTACCTATTTGCAGCAGTAATTAAGACAAAACTACAAAAAGTATAAACATTTTCCATTTAAGGGTAAAATCCTTCTAAACGCGTGTATACACGTGTATATGCACTTATATTCCTATACCTTATTTGCAATTTCAAAGTCAGTTAAAATGCACAATAAAGTTTTTTTTTTTTTTTTCTAAATAAAAATGTGTTTACTTAGAAATGAAAAATTCATTCTTGAATACTTATCTGGGGGGGGGGGGGGGGGGGGGGTGCGCACCTTGCACCTTCTCTGAAGCAATCATCTTTCAAGATTCCCTTCATTTAGCCTCTGGCCTAATCCCTTTCTTGGTAACTCATCAAACCGGATCTTGATTCACAGCATCGAAGTCTTCTGCAGGGGCCAGAGCGCCATATAACTTATTTCATTTATGTCTTTATCTGCTTCTGTCTCCTCCTCAGCAGATGGCCTCTCACACTGACTCTGGTTATCTGGTAGGTTTTTTCCATTCTAAGGCCTTTTCCTTTCCACTGTCGCTACATGCATGCTCAGTGCGAGGAATTGCAGAGAGTCAATGAGTCCTTGCAATCAGCTGGTTTTCTTAAAATAGAAATATTTTTAAGAATATGACTGTGTTACCTGTATGTATAAATAAATGTAATACTTTCCTAATTGCAGCTTTTCTCTGTATGTCTCGCCAGGTTGAATTATTAATTTACTGAGACTCTCTTTTTAGATTTACAATTTAAAAACTAATTGATAGATAATACAATTACAAAATAACTGATGGGTGCAGCTCTATTACTCTTGTGATTATAATGCCTGCTTTTGTATTTATTGAAACCTGTCAGCAAAAATCCCATTACTGAATACCGAACAAATGCATTAATTTCCTTTGGAGCTGAATGGCATATGAATAGAAACCATTTTTATAGATGTTTAAGACAAATACAATCAACTTAAATTATGTAGGACAGAAACCAGCCAATCAGATTGGTTAAAAATGTCATGTTAAGCTTTTAATTAATTTTTGCAAACAGCAGCCAATCAGAAAAACTTAGCATTCAAACACATCTTAAATAACATTTCAATCAGAGAGGACAAATAATTATTCAAAAATGTTCCAACAGAAAATAAGCCAGAACTTCCAAAGGGGTAAAACAGAAAGATTAGGCTTTCCTTTCATCCATCTTCTGTCACGTGAGGGGTGCTGGTGCCTCCAGCTGTCTACAGGCGAGAGGCGGGGTACACCCTGGACAGGTCGCCAGTCCATTCCAGGGCAACAACCTCCTAAGGAAAATGTAGAGAAACCAATTAACCTAATAGTCATGTTTTTGGACTGTGGTAGGAAGCCAGAGTACCTAGAGAGGACCCACACATGCTCAAGGAGAACATGCAAACTCCACACTGCAAAAACAATCCAGAAATAAGTAAAAAATGGCTTAAATTAAGTATATTTAGCCTTAATTTGAGCAGGTAAATAAGATGATTTGCCAATGGAATGAGTATTTTCACTCTTAAAATAAGATAGTTAGATAATATTTACTTGAAATAAGACGATAAAATAGTTTTTTCTTATTTTAAAAGGAAATTGTCTTGTTCCATTGGCAAAGTGTCTTACTTACCTCCTCAAATCAAGAAAAAACACACTTATTTTAAGAAAAAATAACTTATTGAGATTTATATTTTTTGCAGTGCATGCAGAAAGAGCTGGGGCGGGAATTGAACCCTAATCTTCTTGCTGCGAGGCAAGCAGTGCTACCCACTGCGGCACTGAGCAGCCCGGCTTTGCTTCAGTATAAAAATAATTAAAACTTTGGAAAGCCAATCAGAGCCTTGTGCCAGTTTCTTCAGTACAGGCTGCACAGAGGTTAGTTTCAGCTGCACTGTGTCTGAAGCCACAAAGTCCAAGTGGTTGGAGTACTTGGCCTACATGTGGAGGATATGGCTGCGTCCCTGTTCAGCTAAATCTGTGGTTAGGAAAGATATGCTGCCCCAGCCAAAGCTACAAAAAGTAACCTGAAACTTCAGGTATGGTCTGGGGTTAAAACTCAACCTGTGAGCTTTGTTTGGTGAGATGAATGTGGAAATATGATATTAATATCAATACTTTATTTGAAGCAATACTATATAATGTATATAGTATAATGTAAGCTTATATTGTTATAGCTACAGATTCAGTATTCTGTATATATATCGAATTTGTCTGCACCATCAACACCAAGTCAAATTCCTTCAAAGTGCAAACCTACTTGATATTAAATCTGCTTCTGATTCTGATATAGGAATGCAGGGCAGGAAAACAAAGCCCTGTTTTTAGCAAGAAAACACAAACTGTCATTTTAGTCTCAGAAAACACTTAGGTGTTCATCACCATTATTACCTGTACGAAAGTTTGCAAAGCCTTTAGGGAACTGCAGCTCACAGCACTGCATGCAGATGTGTTCGGTCTTCTGTGCGCATACAGCAATATAAAATAATAAAAATATGATCCAACAATTGCTATAATTACACAAACTATAGCTAATTTCCAAAGAGAGTATACAATATTTTTAGTAGTATAGTATATTATACTATAAATGCTATACTAAAATGTAAATTTAAACTAAAAAGTTTACACATGCAACAATAAAACACTGTCAGAAGACTGTCAGACACTTGTGTTACAAAATATAAAAAGTGATGGATGATGTCAGCTTCATTATATACATGGTTAATCGTGACTTTCTACATATTGGACAAAAAATAGATCATATTTTTAACTGAAAATATACCTCCCTAGATGTTACTGTAAATCATACTGTTGACCATCTGGGCTCTACCAGCTTAGATTAATTAAGAGGATATGTTAGTAGGTGGTTGAAAGGGGAGGCTGCTTGTTTGTTATCTTGTATTCAGAGGAAATGTACACTGCAAAAAAAAAATGAAATCTAAAGTTCATTTTTTCTTGAATTGAGGAGGTAAGAGGGACATTTTACCAAAAATCTTTAAAATAAGAAAAAAAAGTCTTTGTCCTATTTCAAGTGCATATTATCTAATTATCTTATTTTAAGATTAAAAGAATACTAATTCCATTGGCAGATCACCTTATTAACGCCTCAAATTAAGGGGAAATACACTTAGTATAAATAATTTTTACTTATTTCTAGCTCTTTTTTGTAGTGTACTTGCAGTTACAATGATTGACCACTGAACTGACCTCAATAGAATGTGGCA